TGCCTGATTTGAACTGCAGGAAACCAAAATGGCCCCTTGATTTTTGGAACTCAATTCTCAGAATGTAATGCATGAAAGACAAATGTAAATTTTTCCAGGAGGTTAAAAGCTTATTTCTTCTAAGTATATATCATTCAGAAGAAGGGAGTTTTGTGGACTCAGCTTTTGCCAGTAGCCTTCAACACGTGGGTGCATGATGGTTTGTGTGTGTAATTTGAAATGCCCACATGGATGCATTCAAGTGTAAAAACAGCTCAGGACTATCAACATTAATTACATTTCTTCCAGTACCAGCCAGGAGGGCTATCCTATTTTGCAAGACTAAGCACACTACAGATACTTTGTATTGTTTGTGTTAGGTGCACAGCTCTAACCCACAGCTCTGTATTTTGGATGATACTTGAATAAACTGAGCTCATGAATTTGGCTAACAAGGCAGGTGGTGGCTGTGGGTTTTGTGTTAATTTGATGGGCACGCCAGGCCTGGGCTCAGTAATGTGTTGCAATATTTATCTATGAATAAGGGTACGAAGGAATATAAAGGGAATGAGCCAAATTTAAATTTACAGCTCCACTTACTGAACAATTTATAACACAACAGCTGAGATCCTGCTGTCATTATGTGCACAACAACAATAATATCAGAAAAATTCAGCATTATGCTCAATGCCATGTAAAGTCCACTGGCTAATAGGACACTCATATTGTCTCACCACCACAGTGGATTGTCCATAAACCACATTTAAACTTTGCAGACTCATGATTCTTGGGAGTACAATTGCACCATCCATGACCAAGGGAAGAATGTTGTCAATATTGCCACAAAAGTGACTCAATCTTTTTGTGTAGCAACAAAATATACAACATTATGTGTACAGTAAACACAAGTGCTACAAAATATGTCACCTTCTGAAATGGATTCTGAACTTCATTTAACAAGTGGGTGAAAAGGGCAACATTAAATCCATTGAAATAAAGGCTCAAAGGCCTAGAGCACAATGTCTTGGCTGAAAAAAGAGGAATTCATTATGTCCTAAATTTTTATTTTGGAAAAAAAAAGTCAGATATTAAGAGCATCATGCAGTTAATTCCAGTGAAAGAGGATCATGCTTCTGCTTTGCCTCCCTCATGGACAAGGTAAGGTGCTCTGATTTTAGGACTTTTGTTGCACTGAATGGGTTATATACAATAATTTGAAAAGAAACTCAACGATTCAAGCTTTAAATTTGATCTGCAAATGAGTGCCTGAAGATTTCAGAACTGCAGTACTCTTCACAATTTGAAAGCCATTAAATCAGTGAGGAGACAATAAGGGAGTCATAAGTGTCATTCCAAACCCAGGCTCGATGTCCCAGTTTACACAGAAGCAGAGGTTTAGGTGTTGCCTTCATTTATCCTCCTTTTTTGAAGGGACCATTTTGACAATCCTTCTGGAGAATACAAATGTACATAATGCTGTCAAAGAAAATGAATGCCTTAAAAAGATTCCTCTTGTACATGTGACAGGTATATACCCTTCAGCAGTCAAAATCTGGAAACAGACGCAATTCCTTAGAAATGATTGCTAAGAACTGGAAGCTGTTTAGGGTAAAGCTTGTGGAGCAAGGGAACAAACAGATTATGAATGTAATAAAATCCTTGCATAAATTGATATTTTTTATTGAACCAGTAGGTTTTGCTTTAAACTATTGTGTAAGATACTGTCAAGCAAAACTAATTAAAGATTCCAGTCTGGACTTCTTCCAGTACAGTTACAATAGTCAGGGATCCTTTTTCATGCCTTTTGTAGATATAGTTAGGCAGTCTGATTTTATTTTTTTTTTTCTGGTAGGTATAGCTTTAATTTAATTGATAGACTTTTCATGGAAAGCCTTCACCTGAGCATGGCCTGGCACACCCAAAAGAGCTCCCAGAATTATCACTGTGCTAAAATGTCTCAACAGGAAGCATGGATGTTCTCATGAAGTGCCCAAGCATCTATGATAAATTTGTGAGGCAATCAAGCAGTCTTTAATGGCAAACCATGCAAGGAATGGTGTTGCTATAACAAAACCAAACAGGAATAAAGTTTCTGCTATAACAAAACCAAACAGGAATAAAGTTTCCCTTGTGAGTTCTGGTTAGCAATACAAGTGGATCCGGATTCTGTGCCATGGTGTGTTTGCCTTGGCCCAGCAAATTGCCCTTGAAATGAACTCCCTGCTACAGGAACTGTTCTGCCTACTGCTCTCTGTGATTAGGAACTGCAGCTAGGACAAATGAGAAATGAAGCAATAAGAAAAGGGAATTAAAACTCTGTTTCAGATCTACCTTTGAGCAGGCTCAGTTTAGCATTTCTTTCCTCCTGTACAGTACATATTCCACAGCAATTTTGAAAACAGTATAATTTAAAAGTTAACATTTGCTTAGATGGTAGCACCAGATAAAAGCCCTCATTTGCAGTGAGCAGGCAAATTTGTTATTGCCCTAGTCAATAGCTATTGACCTGGTACAGTACTTCAGCTTATTACAACCAAATCCTTTTTCTTTTTTGTTCAATAGGCAATGACACTGTAATGGAAGACAGTACTTACAAACTGATGCAATATCTATCAGCAACAGCTAGAAGTTAATGACTAATGGTTACACAGAGGAAAGCATGTGCTAAGAGCAGCAGTACACATCTATTAATCAAATTTACTGCATCTGATGTGCCTTTATAGCTTAGTGGAACTGTAATGCACATCAGATAAATAGTTCCTGTTGTTATTAATCTAGGTTTTAGCACAAAACACCTTTTTTTCATGCTATCAATAAGTAAATAATTTGGCTAGGACAAAGTTTTGTCTGACTTTTAGAGCACACCTTTCAGTTATATGAAATTTGGATTCTGCAATCCTAGACTTTGTACTTCGGCAAGACAAGTGCTCTCCTCCAAGCTGAGGTCATGTTATTCTCGAAATACCCCAGATGGGGCAGTATAAATGCACACAACACCCTAAAGACAGAATGGGAAGAGCAGAGTGCCTGTGTCCATGGCTCAGCCTGCCTTCAGGCTCCTTCCCTGCAGCAGAGCATTGCTGCACAGCCCTGTCCTTTACAGTTTATGTAACTTGAACTTTCTGTGCCTGGGGGTGAGCTTTGCTCATAATTCACATAGCCTATTTTCATTCTATAATCATGGTTGTATAATTTTTTTATTTTTTTTTTTTAAATTCTGCCTGACACCAAAATATTTTCTTTCAAAGTTCCACTATTTATTTTATATCTGAGAGATGCAGATTTTTGGACAACAGTGTGACTATAATAGTAACACCTGCAATTTTTATACTACCTTCCAACAAACGTCACAAAACATTAATGAAGTTTGTTGACTCCTTGGTGAAAAGCAGAACTGCTAATGTTTTTGGCTTACAGTTCTCTATAATCTTTCCTGTAGAACACCAACAAATACTGAAGCACTGATTTATCTGTTTGTTTCTCTTCTTTGAATGCCACCTTGATTTCTCTTTAGACTGATGATGAGGCATTATGGAAAGAAAACTTACAAATTTGGTAAAAATTGAACAATCATGCCATTGCCAAGGACATATTATATTGTATTGCACCATTTAATTGGATTTAAACAATGCTCCTAAACCACAATGTTTTGCCTTTTTCGGAGGAGTGCTGAAACCCTACAAGATCCATAGTGGATCCTCATCAGACCTGTGATACTGATCCATAAACCAACCCTGTTGGTGCAGACTGGTGGAATTTAATTGCTGATATGCTCAGTGTGAAGCCAGGAGCTAAATTCACTTTATTTGCATCTCTTGACAAGATTTCCAGTGCTGCTCAGGCAGCATTAACTTGTGCTCCTCTTTGTTGTCACAGAGCAGGAGAGCAGTGGAGAGACTAAGCTGTGTCCTTCCTGCAATGAAAAGGGTTTTGTTGGTCTGCTAACCAAACATACCTAAATAACAATACATTTATCCTTGCAATACTGTGTGAGGAAAGAAGATCATCTTAATTTAGAACCATGGAATGACAGATTTGAACATGGTCAGGTCATTCCACAAATCTACTGAAATTCCATTCCAACAACATGAGTCCAGGAGCTAAACCTTCCTCTTGGTTCTTAGTGTGTTTTCCAAACATAGCTTTGGATGTTGTAATGACGTGAAAACAGGAAATATTCATAACATATTTATTGTGTTTACTGTGATGGTAAGAGGACACTGCATTATACACACAACACTTCCCTTTAAAAGAAAAATATAAGTTCTGCAAATTAACAAACAACATGGATTGGTTGAGACAATGATTAATTTTGAAAAGAATATACCATGAGCTTTTTAATTCATTACTTAAAAAAAGTTGTCATTGAGGAAATTACATGCATATTAATTAGACTTCTTAATAGTTAAGTGGTAACTAGATATTTCAGCCTTTCAGAAAAGTCCATAAACTGGTAGATTTCAGAGGCAAAGGATCTCTTGACAGCTGCAACAGTTATAAGGAGTAAAACATTTCAAAGATTATTCTGGAATTTTAGTCAATCATTTGCAGTATATGACAAGCTACAAAGAGTTTACTTATTATTTCTTCAAAATAGGAAATTCATCACTTTTGGACCCAAAATCAGTTGATCTCTATCAAATAAATAATGAGCACTTTTGCAAAAATAAGATATTTTACGAGATGATTTAACTTGTCAGCTCAGTTACATTTATGGTTTTCTCCACTTGCCCATAAGTAAACTCTCTATTCTATTTCATAAGAACCTGTAAAGACTTCTCTTGAATGAAGATAAATGTTACTAAAAAATAAAAAAATGAAACATTTCAAATTGAGAACAGACAGACTATGCATTTCCTGTTACGGTCCCAAACTTTGCAGTATTGACTGTCAATGATTTGGAAGATTTCTGAGAACTGTAACCCATACTGAGTGAGGAAATAGTGCTTAGTTTCAATACTAAATGATACAGAATGGGAAAGCCAGCATGTAAATATAAAGGAAAGGTACTGGTGACTTACTCTTTGTAACAACTCCTTCAAGACGAATGATATTTGGGTGATCAAACTGTCCCATGATACTCGCCTCCCTCAGGAAATCTCTCCTCTGCCTGTCCATATAGCCACCCTTCAGAGTTTTAATGGCAACAGGGATCTCTCTTTTTCCTGGTGTCTTCAGGCGTCCACTGCACACTTCTCCAAACTCCCCTGAAACAGATAAAATATCTGTTGGGTAACTCACAATGCTTGTACAGAAAAATATCGAAGGAACTCACACAGCCCATAGGGATGGACAGAGAAATAACTCACTGAATATTCAAATTTATGATTGTCATCCCATCCCAGAAAATCAAAATATTCAGCAGCAGTTCACAAGAAATTATCACCTTTCCTTTGTGGCACAGCAGAGGTCCTGGCACCCTGTACTGTGCCTGCAAAATCCAAACCCCACTTCCCCACTGTGGCTCATCTTGCTTTCCTTTGGGACTGAACATTGGTATCCCCAACATGTTTGGGATATATAACTGAGGATGGAATGTAATGACACTTGGATTTTTATTCCACTGATGACAAAATATCTATGTCAAGTATCTATTGATAGAAATATTCTTCTCTAGGGATGAAATGCGCTAAGACCTATATGTTAAGAAAAGCCCTGAGACTATCAGAACACTTTATTATCCTTCAGCTACAGAAAGCATTAAAAAGTACTTTATGCTGTTATGACCTAGAAAAGCACTTGGACATTATTTATTTAAAGGGACTTCCACACCTACTTGAAATTAATTTCATATTTCCCTGTTCAGACGGCCAAAGGCCATCAGTCCCACAAAATCTGGAGTTCTGCAGTGAGAGGCATCTCAAAACTTGTTTTCCCTGATGTTTCCCTGTGTATGTAGGGCCTGTAAAGAATGTGTGTCTTCCTGCATTCTCCTTACACATTTACTAATTCAGTTTGTATAGAAATCACAACTTTCCTTTGATCTTGAAGTCACCCAGAAGTTATTTAGAGCCCCTACCAAACATAGTCTGGGATGACTGCAGGTCAGTTTTCAATGGGTCATAATCCAGTAAATGAAAAACAATGTTCACAGAAATATTTCAAAGCATTTTTCAGTGCAGGTTGTTTTCACAGCAAATCTAAGTTTTTCACCCCAGTCATTCTGGAATCAGAATTGCTGAAAACCAAAAAGCAAGTAATGAACAGATATATATTTAACTGGGGATTTAACACTCCATTGAGTGCTGTCTGTATTAGTTTTCCCTAAACTTTAAGGATGGAAGTAAACAAAATGAAGGAGTTCTCTTCTGTAACAGTGCCTATTCAGATATGAAGCAAATATAGAGGAGATGTACCTAAAAGGCACAACCTTCACTTCAAAAAATTGTAACTCTCTGATTTTATAGGATTAGAATGGATATTGTCGAAAGACTTTTATATTATTAGTTTCTGTTGCTTCCACTAAAACAAAGCAAAGTTTTATTAGTCAGTGAGATCCATGAAGAATGAGATTAAGAGAAGTATTTCATAGCTTGTGTTTCATTTCAATGACAGAGGCATCATCAAGTGCAGGAGTACAATTAATCCATACTGAACATAACCTCTGAATAAATTAGCAGCTTCCTAAACAGCTAGAAAAAGTCAAGTGGTCCCAAGTCTTCTTTGCATAGTTCCTCCCACCAATTTATTTCTACTTAATTAAAAAAATAAAAATTAAAGATGTGTGCAAATATAAGATACGTGAAAATATATGTCATTGGAGTAATGCTCTGGGAATCTTTGGACAGAAGGGGAAGTTGTGTGAGGATTTTCATGTATGACTTTGCCCTTTTCACCTTTAGAAGGCTCTCCTTAGAAGTTTCCTTGCCTGATCACTTGCACTGAAAAAAGCAGTAGATAATTTGGACTTGTAAAGCCCTCCCATAAAAGAAAGTCATGAATGTTTTGCAGGAGACATGGTCTATCAATCTTCTATTTTGTGACATGTTCAGCAGGACCAGAACACTTCTCTCAAGCCATGACCTTATTGCATCTTGCTGGTTTTTCAAGCTTAAATGCCTAAAATGAGAAAAAATTCCAATTTCTTTCTCTTGATGAGGCAGTGAAAAGCAAAAATATTAGAGCCTTAATATCCAGATTTTTAAAGAGATTTTGTAGTCAATAAATCAGCAGAATTGCAAAATCTCATTTTAAGACTAAATTGGAAATCATAGATCATAGAATAAGCCATTTTGCTACTACAAGATTATACAAGAACACTATAGCTTCAGAATTTCATAAATAATGGCATTCATCCCTCATTAAAAGGCTGTTACCATGTGCTTTAAAATGAGTTAAACTAAAGGGGGCAGCTGAACAACGTGTGATTCCAAGATTTATTATCTGTACAACATCCAAAGCAGGGGAAGGAACCCCTGTTTCTTTCACCTTCTTTTGGATGCATGATTTGGAAAGTTAGAAAGAAATTTCCCTCCCCTTGGATACTGGGATTGATAAACTGGTGAACACAAAGACTACCAGCAGGTTTTTTGTGACATGATGTCAAACTTGAGATCATCAGCTTACAGAACAGACAGTTCCTACATTTAGAAACTTAAGGTGTATAACTTCTGTTTTAGACTAGATGGAGATCAATGGTATAATTTAAAACTCTGAATTATTTACACTGAGAGTTTGACAAGATTTCATCCCAGAGTAGCTGCTTTTCTACACTTCTGTTCAGATAAAGAATTGTCAATGTTTTTAAAGTCAAAGGGGAATGGGTTCAACCAAAGGGGTTTTAAAAATCAAAGAATCTCATTCTCACTGCTCAAGTTTGAAGATAAACAGGATAAATGTTGACCCTGCAGCAGCTGAGGTTCATGACTGCATGTGTAATAAGCTGAAGCTAAGAGCCAGATGTCAATGAAGTAAACATTTTTCCTTGCTCCAGGGAAACGGCTGATCCCAACTAGAGAAAAAGATAGAGTCCACTGCCCATTTGGTTTTAATAAAATATAAATAATCTCTGGTTTAATAACAGAAACTTCACCCATCTTACTGTATATTATACAAAAAGGAACTAATTGAGCAGTCTAGAAATTTAATCTGTGCAAACCACACATCCTTTTTTTTTGCATTCAGCAGCGCATATGTGATATTGAAAGTGAAACAGGAGCAGTCACTTGAAAGTCTGATCTGCAGCCTGGTATTACTGCATGGGATCAGAACAAATGTCCTACAGCACAGACAGTGGCTGCTGATAGAACTGAAAGGTCACAGCACCAAAGACAGCTCCACTCACTTCCCCATTTCAGTCTTTACACTTGTGGGAGAACGTGCAGGAGATTTAGATCATGCAGAGAATATTGTCTGCTCTGGGAGAAACTGGAGAGTCTGGCTCTTCCTTGAATTCCAACATTTTAACAGAGAAAATAGGAGGATAATTGTAAATTTTAAGACAGACTTGACAAAATCCCTCTGAGTATTCATTCCTTGAAGAGGTGCTGAATCATTAAACCCTTAAATAGCAAGAAGAGATGGGGCAGAAAAAAGTGAATTGGTGAGATATAATTACCAAATGCTTTAAAGTATAACTTGGGTGCAGAGTTAGGTTAGAATTCAGGTGAAAAAAGAAACTGACTAAAAATACCTGCCTGGAGTGTCACAGCCATTGGAACTGCAAGTAGTGAATTATCAAGAACTTTTGGACATGACTTTTTCCATTGAAAAAGCAATCTGGAAACTGCTTTCAGGAGAAGAACAACTCAAAAAATGTCATGACCAGAAATGCTAGAATTTTTTTTTTTTTCAAGTGTTTGTGGTTTTCTACTTTGGAAGTTTCAAAATGAAATATTTTGATTCTTGAATGGAAATAATTTTTGTTTGAAAAATTAAAGTTACAGAAATTAAAAATCAGAATTATTGGCCAAAATAAAATGTCAAAACAGAACAAATTTAGGAATGCATCTATTAATTGAATTCTTAAAAGATATTAATAGTTCATTTTGGAGAAGATGTTGATTTTTGGCTTAACTTAGGTGAAAATTTTAAACAACTTTTAAAAATAATTCTCTTGTGACAAGAAATCCATTTTATATCCAATTGAAATATATAATACAGAATTAGAGAGAATGCACAGAAATCTTTAGGCCAGCTGAGAATTATACTGATATGTTATGTCCCTGAGCAGCTACTGAAGAATGCTGTGGGAATTTGTACTCTCCCTGCCTCAGCCATGGTATTTAACCTATATTTTGTATGTAAATGGAAATGGGTTTAAATTTCATTGCAACCTGTTTGCAAGTCCTGTTGGGTGAGTATTTTTGAAGCTAAAAAATTACCCATGTAATTTTAGAAAATGAAAACCACAAAACTAAACTCCATAAAAATAAAGTATGTCAAATCATACACCTCCATGCATACAAGAAAATAGAGAGAGAGAGAGGCTGAGAGAAGAGTTTTCATAAATGAATTAAACTGAGATTGAGGACACAAATTTAATCTGAACTAACACAAATAATCCTTGTCTGTTGTATTCAACTGAAATCAGCAGTTACACAGGGGTGGAATGTTGCCCAATCTGCTTTATAATCTAAGCAATCAATATCTATAGTGGGTCTGAAGAAAAGGAAGAAACAGAAGAAAGCAAACTGAATGTTTCCTACAGAGGTCAGCCCTCTGGGGGCTCTCCCAGGATCATAATTCCAGAGGTGCACAGCTCCAGCTACAGATGATGTGGCCTAAGCAATCAGGTAAACTGGAGTACTCCAGCACTCTGGTTTGCAATGTGAAAACAGAATTTTCTCTTTTACTTTCGATACTTTCTCTCCCCTGTCTGCTACCAGACCTGGTTTTATTTCTGTAGGATTATTGCACAACATTTTCTAGTGTACAAAACACTTCTTAGCAACACTGGGGATATTTCCATGGCTATCAGTGTAGTAACATATCATTAAATTAGGGTTTTAAACTGAAAAATACCCTTCCTTTCTCGAGTGACAAAGATACATGAAGTAAATACAAAAAACAAGGATTACAGGGCATCATCTTTCATACTGTCTACATCTTATCAACAGATCTTCCTCTTTTCCCTCTCTGCCAGTGATCCTTCTCCAGACAGAAAAGCCTATCCCAAGCCAGCCCCTCCTTTTCTTCCCTCATACTCCTCTAGTTTTGTACTTGAGAATAACTTTTCCTCAGTCTTCTATATTCAGAACTTATATCCCCATAGAAAGAGATTCTGATCCAATTTCACCCTCAGTGACTGAGAATACATGACAATAACTATGGCACATGCTGAGTGACACAGTGTTTTGAATACATCTGGAAAAAAAAATCCCAAAACAAAATAAAAAAAACCAAACAGCCAACAAACCAGGCAAAAAAATCAATCCTATGCAAAAAAACTGATAATGGATTCATTTCCTAATGCTTATGAAAGGCAGTATTGCCATGCCTAGAGATTTTTTTACAGTAGGTATAGTTTTACCTGCCCCAATGACTCTTTCAATACGAATTCTTGAAGGATCAATCTCCTTGGCAAACTCATGGACAGCAAGAGATGGGTCTTCATACGTGTCTGGATCTATGTATGTTTTGAGTCCTGGGAAATGTACTGCAAGGAAGAGAGAATAACAGGAATCAAGAACTCCTTGACATTCATACATTGCAACAATAGTTTTATTTTTATTTTTTGTTTTTTTTTGACTAGGCAATTGAGAGGACTGAAAATAATATATTACATCTTCCAGGTTTAAAATTTCTGAACCAAACAGAAGAGTTGGTCACTTGAAAAAGGGACTGCAGAGACTCCAGGTGAGGGCTCAATGATATGGGGCAAAACACAGCCTCAAAACAACAGTGATTATTGCCAAAACAGTTTATCTTCCCCTTTGCTGCTCCTAGGGAAATTGAGGCAATCTGTCCTTTACTTTGAAAACAGTTGTTTCTGGTTCACTCCTTTCATTTAGGAGTGGATGGCTGAACATCCTGTTTTGCCAAACAGGTCAAATCTTTGAGTTCCTTTTCTCTCAGGATGAATCCTGGAGGGTTGTGCTACTTTGTTCTCTTCTGATCATCTGGAACAGCCATAGAGCCAGGTGCAAGATGACAACAAAAATATCCAAATCCATTTTCAAGATAATTTCTGTCTGTTTCCTTGGAGATGGCCATGGCAGTAGTGGGTTGGTGCCAGATTGCTTTGGCAGGCTCCAACAAGCTGTCATTTTCTGGCATGGCTGATATCCCTTGTGTTCCTGAGTATAGCATGTTCAAGAACTTGTGTTGTTTCTTCTGGATTGATGCTAATAATCCATCAATTTATCAGGGTAAAAAGAGGCATCTGCAGCTGGGTCCAGAGAATCCCTTTAAAAACAATGAAGCATTTCTCAGCCTCCTTTCTCAGGTCAGTTAATGGCTAAGTCTAAAACAGTAATTCCTCTTTATTCTTGGTTCTCTGGAGCACATTTATGAGTAGAGACTTGCCCCCTCCAGTGTGATGCTGAGATCACTGCAAATGAATGGGAAGGCTCTGAGATGAAGCTTTGTGTCAACATGAAATACAGTCATCATTTACCCTGGCCTGAAAGACACCGAGTTAGGCTTTTTCAAATTCAGTCACGGTTTCAGAAGCATACATCAAACTCTCCAGGAGGAGGGTTTTTGTCTTCTTTTATTTCTGGCCATGTTTGGAAACAAATGACAAAAACATCTTTCTAGGCAGTATACTTTATGGGAAAATGTGCCCTTTTCCTTGACAGAAAGAGACACTTGGCTCGACAAAAAAAAAATAAATTGCTACTCTAACAGAAAACAGTAAGGCAACTAATTTAAAGTAGGTAGCTAAACTAAGCTATATAAACTAATTACGGCCCATGAGAGATCACCAGGATTTTCTCTCACTGTACTGATCAGTGAGCAGGAACATGAAGGAAGACAACCCATTCCACTTCTTATTTCTTGGGTGGCTGGAATCCTAAATCCAAAGAGAACTAGGTACAAATAAGTCATACAGTCACCAAGAAAGGAATTTTGAGGCAGAAATTCAGTACCCAGAACAACTGAGAATTCAGAGATTCACCTGCAACCCTGCTAAATATCAGCTGAATAGCAAAATACCCTTTAATAACTACAATACATTTAGTGAAATTTCTAATAAAAATAAAAGCCACTGATGATGCAGACAATAAGGAGCTACTCAAATAACCAGATTAAAACATCAAGGGCAAAAGTTATTCAGGAAATAGTAGACTTTCTTTATTTAAAACATGACATAGATATTGTATAGTGTTGAACTACTTACAGTGTCCATTTTGCAAATGAGCCCTTCTTTTCTCCTCAGATTTCATTTTGGCCTTTATGTACCACTGGCATCTTTCAAGAAAAACAAGTGAGATTTTAAATACAATACTTGCCATGAATAAAACAGATGTCCACCAAGTTTTATCTGCAATTTTATGAAAGCCAAATTTTTGCATTTGGAATATATTTATACTGATGAATCTAAAGAGGGAAATATGTGTGTATGAACTATAAACAGATTATTTACAAAGAAAAACAGATCATGGTTGAATGATTAGCATGACAATGACTATCTGAGTTTAAGTTTGATGTAATGCTTTTTTTTTGACTCCTCCAAAGAATTCTGATACTTCAATAAATTATTGCTTTCCTGCATTCCTGTTTGCCTACATAGGCCTGTAGTAATTAAACCTTATCCCATTAACTTTCCTATACAGTGGGTAAAATACCCTCTCATTTTCTTCATAATAGAATTATAATGATTTCACCATACTTCATGAAAAAAGAAAATATTTTTTCACCTCAAGACCCCTTTTTTCTCTTTTGCTGAGTGGCTCTGTGCAGTCTGAGCTGCCAAACACTGCCTACCTGCAGATCTGACAATGCTGATTTAGGGGGTGACATGGCAGGACCAACTGTTTCAGTCAAGAAAAAACAGAATATTTGCACTTGGTCTTAAAGCTCTTTCTTAAAGCTCTTTCTCACCAACTGAGCAGCCTAAAAATTACTATTTAGAGGGAAATCTTTTGGTTTAAGGGATAGGAAAGGCTGCTGAGGCTCTGATGCCAGTGGAGAACAGCAGTGCCTGTCCTCACTTCAATGGTGTGTTTAAACTGCTGAAACACAGTAGGAACAATCACAAGTTCATTCACTGATGATGAGGAAAAAAAGAAACTCCTGAAGCTGAAGTACCCTTGTGGAGGGAATGCAAACCAGTGGATTCTCAGACTCTGTGGAAACCCTGAGAATGAACACCAGTTGCTGGGACTCCCTAAGGATGCCAATGCTGTTTTTAGAACCTGAACAAGTGGTCTGTAGGGTGCCACCTGTCCAGATCCCTACAGTTCTTACACTCCAAGTGCTTGCCTGTCGTTGTTGGACACGATGTAGAAGTGTGGATTCACAGCACACACTAGAACGAGTTCTTAGGAAAAGGGTTTTTATTTTTTGAGCTTTTTATTTTTTATAGGGTCTTACGCTACAGGTTTAACATGATTGGTCAAGGGAACACCACCTCTTGTCCCATTGGTGGGACAAGAGAAAAACACACTATCTACAGTTGTACAGAACTGTTTGGAGAGAGTAAAATTGTTTACAAAGATCATCCTTGAGCGAGAGAGCTCCCAAGAAACTTTCTCTTGGGAACAGATCAGCCACTGACAGGCTGTAATTCTCTCAGGCTCAGAGAAAATCAGCTCCACACTTGCCCAAGTGAACAGTCTAAGAAACAAGACTTTAACCTCACCCAACCCTCCTAAACATCCATGTGGCCCCAAAGTTTGACCACAGAATCAGTGATCCATCACCAGTGGAGCAGTCTCCTTGTTCTCTGCTCATGCTGGCTGCAGAACAATCTGAGATAAATCAGACTGAGCTTCAACACCCCATTTCCTGAAGCTGAGCCAAGACCCCAGTCCTGTGTCTTGAAGTCTCTTTTGCTCTCATATTCCTATCTGCAGCTGACAGCAGTGCTTCCTCCTTGCTCCTGGTGGATAATCACCCAGCAAAGTGCAGAGACCCAGCCTCTCCACTCTGAATAGGCTCATCAGCAGCCCTGAGACTCGACAGCTCATCAAATTGTTAATTCTAAACACTGAAGCAGAGCACATCTGTAGGGTACCAGTCTCATTCTTCATGCTGAAATTTGCCTCCAGTCCTAGCGTAAATTGAGTATTTATTCAAAATTTTCTTGCTCTGTCTTCTGTGGAACATGCTCTTATCATTGAATTTAAGCAGCACTTCAAAATGAATTCCTATCTTACATAATTGAAATGGTCCCATTGAGTAAGGCAGTAAAAATCTAAGAGAAGCTCTGATACTCTTAACAGTAGAAAACAGGAGGAAGAAACACAGAAAGAAACTGATCTCTGTATTTTTTTTCATTCCCAAATTTAGTGATTTTTTCTAAAGGAAATGTTTGAGTTGTTTCAGGATTTCACATACAGATTCCACACAATAATTTTCTCTGGAAACTGGTCTCTGTCTAAATAATTCCTCTCTTCTCTGAAAGATACTATTGTTTGTCACCTTCTGTAGTAATTGCAGGAATATTTACTTAGCCTCTAAGATTAAGGCCACAATATGTTCCAAAGTTAACTCTCATTACCTTCACCAGAACATTAGATTTAACATTTATTTTTATTATTTAGCAGAGAGAATATTAATTTACATAATAGCAGCTACTGCAGTGCCATATTTAGTTGCTGGGGTATTGCAAACAAAACCTCTGGCCTGCACTGAGAGAACTTCAATTTCTGTTCAAATTAAGAGGTAATGCAATGCCAACAAAACAGATGTGTAATTACAAATCTAGAAATGCAGCACCCTCTGTTGATATCTGAGCAGTGCACTCTCTCAAGTTTTGCAATTGAGAGTTATGAGATTTTGTAAAATACACTGTGGGGATTTTTTGCTTATTTTTTTTTTTCCTTGTAATGTCAGAACCCTGAGGGTGCAGCAGGTATACTGTATTTTTAAATTATCACTCTGTGGGCAAGAGCTCCAGAAACTTTTAAAGTGTCCAGACTATTTCCTGGTTTCACATAATTTCTTATCTCCCCAAACTGTGTCTTTATGGAAAACAGCTACAAAAGAACTGTAAGACCAGTGCTGAACAAAGAGGATATTCCACTGTGTCTAACCCTAATTTTAGCTCTGAAAATGTGCTTTAATGACTTAAGTATTATTCTTGAATTCATAATTTTAGATGGGACTATACAAGAACAGTTTTAATTACCTGCCAGTGATGAGGAAGAACAAAGTGAGGATGACCAGGAGAGTGAATCCACCAACAGCAGCAGTGGCAATCACAAGAATCTGTCCCTGCTCTGCAGCCATATCAGAAGCTGAAAGAGAAGCACAGAGAAAAGAGGTTGATGCTCCATCTACTACCCAAGGGATTTTGCAGAATGGCTGAAATCATTTCAGTGGTCAAATGAAGTGAAATTTGATTTTTAGTGGTTTCCTCAGCGCTTAGTGAGGACATGGGATGCAAACTTGTCTGTGAAGTGAGAAACCAGAATCCATGTCCCTGCTAGGATGGAGAGGAGAGGATGTTTGCAGGTTTATAAAAGGAGGATTTGCCACTATCAGACACTTGCAATTTACTGAAGTTTGAATATGACAGGATTTTGGACACAAAACTGTATTTTCTTAGTTAGCTTTATTTATCTTAATCCTGCACCTAATTGAGAAGTTCTCTCCATCCCCTGGTCCCAGTGAAGCCAGCAGCAGTGCTGGGTATGTGAAGATACTAAACCAGATTCAGGAGGAAGCAAAGCAAAAACCCCAAACCTAATGTGCTGCCTCACACATTCCTCAGCACGTCTGGTGTTTAGTCTCATCACAAAGTACACAGAATTTATCACAACACACTTTGGTGATTGGAAACCCTGTAGTTGATTAAAAAAAACCCCTTATGCTTCTTGTTTTTCTCTCTGCTTTTTGTAGGATGTTTAGGAGTTATAAAAGATCACCTGAAATTATCCAGTCACTGGACACTTCCTAATTTTGTTAATTTATTTGGTATAATATTAAATCTTTTCACTGAGAATTTACCTACTAATAGTCCAAGTGGTCCACACTGTCTAAACGCTACATGAGCAGAAAAAGAATTAGGCTCATTTTTTTTCTCTGACTCCAAAGTTTTATTTGTTAAACTCTTTTCCACTTGAACATTTACACCACACAACATTTAAGCAATTCTTACTATTTCCCTTGGAAATAAAACTTTTTTTTGAAAGAAAAATAAATAATTCTATTCAATGACTTCTGAAAACAGGAGTAAATACAGAAAAGGGAATAATTTCTATATCAGGGAAGCAACTTTGATCTGGTAAACTTGTAAACTATTCAATAAGCAAAATCTTCAGCTTTCTTTAGGCTTCAGGTGGGAAATCACCTAGGCTGCTCTCTAGAAAGCTCAGCAGGCAGTATTCTCTCACTTTGCAGCTGATGAAGCTCAATGCAATGCACACATTGCTATCCAAAGCCTCAGAAAATGCTGTTTCCTAGAAAAGCATTTGGCTTCTGAGCAATATTTGTGTGTGGCTTAAAAACTCACAGTTTTTAAGTGTAAACTGGGCTTTGTAAGAGCAGCAAAGCAAATAAAAACAGTAGTAGCTTAGGTCAAATTTTCAGCAAAACCAACTTTTTAAATTTCTGCCATTAGATTTCTGTCCATATAATTTGATGGAAGCATGCACAGGCAGTAAATTACAAGGCATTCAGTACCTGTGGTCAGACAAGTTAAATATACACATCTTCCAATAAATGATGGAGCGAATATTGACTGAATAATTAGTTAAATGATATCTAGTGATGTTATGGGAGTGAATTCCAGCTCTGTGTTACCTTCCACGGGCTCAGGTTTGGTTGGAAAAATGCAGCATAACAAACAGCATGCCACACAAGTAACAATGCAAATGCTGAATACCATTTTCTGACTACTGGGAGTTGTGCTATATGTGGCAAAGATTATTAAACTCAGGCAGGGTTTGAGGTTGTACATGGAGAAGGTTTCAGAGGAATCTTTCCTGCCCATCTCTGCAGTGGAAAGGAGAGGACAAATTGCAGGTCTCCTTTTGTTTTTAAGAGGAAAAAAATATGTGCAAAAAGAGTGAATTTGGCTTTGAATTTCAAGCAAACCATGAGATCAAATGAATTAGCTGTGGTTTTCTTCAACAAATGTTCACTGCCAAGGCCAAGAGCCCAGGAATTTTTGATGCAAATGTAGGGACTGACTCCATGGTCCGAAGAAGCACCTGCAGTCACATCAATAAAGGGGAAAAAATTGAAACTGACTTAAGTTCTTTCTGCATGTAAGTAGTTTGATTTTTAGCTGAAATTGTACCTACTTGAAAAGTGATAATTTTGTTTCTCTTGTTTGTATTTTAGAGGCCAGAGTTGAATACATTAGAATTTTTTTTTCATATAATCACAAGGAGCTTTCAAGCCTGAAACTTCCAGATGACCTTAATTTACCTGTCAGATAAAAATGTCAAATGACAGACAAGAATAATTGGAAATGTGAATTTGGTAAAAAGTGGCAGAGAGGCAGGGAAGGCAAAACGATGGAAATACTTATTTTTGCTTGAAGTGATCCCTCAGTAAAATCAATAAAGGCACAGTGAACAACACATATTTAAGCACACGAGTATCCACATACACAGACTCATCACATGCAGATAAAAGGTTCCACAAAAAACTATTTAGGCAGTGAGAAGGCAGTAATCAGGGACTCTCAAAACCTAGAATTTTTACAGCATTTTGCCATTCTAAATTAAATTATATGTGTCTCTCAACCTCTCTGCTCTTTTCTCATTTCTCCAGCTTTCTCTTAAGATCAACTTGTAAATACTAAGAGCTTTAATTTAATATTTTTTGTCACTTCCTGGTTTTCTTTCCATATTTTTCCTGTGTATATTGGCCTATGACTGTGTTTCTCCTCAGAACTTCTTGATTATGCAAGATAGAAAAACTCAGTTTAAAAACAACTATGGCAGGTTGTAAAGTCAAGCAAGTTCCTGCAACTTCATTTCATCTCTTTGTGTGGACATATGAGAGTGCTTCATTTAATCACAGAAGTGCACAGCATTTTTTATCCAGAATCTCATTTGTTGGACAACATGGCAGCATTCCTATAGCTAAAATCAATATTTTGTTATCTCTACACTGTCCAGGGCACCTCAACTTTATCATAAACCATGAGCAGAGCTAAGGGAGCTTAGCACCCCTCTAACTGGGCTGACTGCTTAATCTGGTATTATCTCATTCTCTCTACCTGTCTGCTCAATAAGTTCATTTGGACACTTAAAAAAAACTTTAAAAAATGAGTAGCTAAATAAAGGAAAAGGGAGAATTTTTAACTTATCCAAGATGTTTCAGAAGTATACTGCAATATTTGGGTGGCAAAACTCTTCAAGCACATTTGTGCTGCAACTGATGTGATTAGTCAAAGTGATTTTAAAACTTCAGCATGGATTACATATGCAGCCAGGAGCTTATTATCCAGATAAACTCCTCACTGCCATTGCTCTTCTTATCTCTTAACTCATGTTATATGCCTGAAATGATGCTTGAAATTTCTAATTGCATCATTCCATCTTCCTGGCTTAACACCATGCCCAGAAATCCCTTCTGCATCCAGCCTGGTGTCAGTTCTGCCCCTACAATCCACTTTTTACATCCATGCCCTGTCTCATCTTCTCTCTAGGTTCTTCATCCAAATGTATGGAGGAGGAGCTGCACTTTGCCTCCCCTTTGGGCTGAAGGGGAATTTCCTGAAGTTATCCTGAGGCTTCCTCATTTCCTCACTGGGCACACTGGCAGGAATGGTGCAGATGTTTTAGTCACAGTGCAAGAGGCTGAAAACCAGAGAGAATCTTTCAGTTCTGCTCCTTCTTTGAACAAATTTCTCCAAAAGATTTTACAAGTTTGTGTTTTTGGTATGGAAGAGCTGGAAGCCCTAATGACAGCTCACTTCTGTCTCTCAGCTACATCCCTTCATTACTTCAATTTGACATCTATCAGGCAGCAGACCCTCCAGCAGAGTGAAAGATAAAAAAGTGACAGAAAGACAGCCAGACTGATAACAGTGAGCAGCTGTAGGACAGATAAGTGTGGACAGTGAGCACTGGAGCTCTAACAGGCAGGAACAGGCTGTCAGGGCACTGCAAACAACACTGCTTAAGAACAATAGGTAAGGAAAACACAGAGTCTCATTAGGGCAGCCTTTACATTTTCATAAATGAAAATGTAGTTCCAGTGATACAGTGAGCTGATGGGCTCCAGTGAAAGGCAAAATGAGAAGGGAAAGGAAAGGTGATTTTAAAAGGGACTGTCACTAGCATAAGAATGTAAAACTTTTTGGTGCCTATTCACTTGAAAAGCTTTCTTCCAAGTGCCTTCCCTTAACATCAACTTCCTGGCCAGTGGATAAATGGAAATCCGGTGCAGGCATTTTGAGATCTGAACAAGGATGTTGCTCTTGTTTAGGAAATGCGAAGGAAAAGTGAAGTCTCTGGGTTTTCTGGACACATACAGCAGTGCAATCAAATAGACCAAAATCAAATGTGAAGAACAAATGGCTGAAAGTATTAAACACAGTAATGAAATACTTAAAGATTAAAACGAGACATTTGTTGGTATTCAGTGCTGACTAATACTGAATAAACAGTGGGATGAGGCAGAAGCAGGGAGAGATCCAACAAAAAGTTTCTAAATACGAAATACATGTCATCTGATTTGTTTTGTTTCAACTAGGAATAGTTTCCTTTTGTCAAAACATAAAACATTGTAAAAAAAACCCAAAAAACTCCATTTTGCATTGGTAATGCAATATATTTTCTAAAAATCCGTGGGATGGCTTCCCTGTCTTGGCATGAACCAGGGCATGTGCTTAAACCATTAGTGGACCTGCACTGGAATCAGTGCTCTTTTCTTGAGCTTTGGAGTTCTGGAAGGAATGGAGTCACATCTGGTAGCAAATCCAAAATAGCCTGGTTTGAGGATGAAAAGTTAAAGGCAAATTTTGTGGATGTGGGAAGAGGAAAAGGAATGTGAAAATTCAGCAGAATTTTCTGGCAATACACAAAAATCACCATTTGAGACTGTGGTAAAGAAATTAAAGTTATTGATCCATCAAGACTGGAGTTTCAGCCAATTATTTTTTCATAGTCTTCAACTTTATAAAACACCTAATGAAATATTCCATTAGCATTTCTGAAATGTTTAGGGTTTTGCTGTTAATAATTTGAAGTATACAAAGTCTGCATTGCTTTTGGATTAAATATCATCATGTACTCACATTTATCACTCTGCTCAGCCCAAGCACAAGTCCACACTGCATAAATGCTACTTTGTCCCTTAGGTCCTTTCCAGAATAAGCCAACCATTCCACTTTCAGATTATTTTTTCCTAATGATGGGAAGGCTGAGAAGGAAAATACCCTTGGTCTTAGAATAAGCCTAGCTTTGGCATGAAAACTGCCAAAAAGCTGTAAATTGTTTAGTATTTTACAAGTTCCTCTGGGCAGAAGGACCTCTGAGGCAATGTAAAAAAACACTTCTCTAGAAAAAAAAAGAAGAGGTTTGAATCATTAATTAAAAAAAACAACCAACAACAAAACCAGCCAACCAACAAAAATATCCCATAAACAGCTGGTTAGAAGAGAGGGAGGGAAAAAAACCAGAGAGGGTAACAGTCGGAGATTAAAGCATCTCTGCCCTAGGACAAATGTTTTCTTTTTGTCAGAACACATTTTATCCTCTGTTAGGGAGGACCAGAGTGTTTTTGTGTTGACTCAGATAGCTGGTAATTCTGACAGATAAAAGCAGGAGCTGCAAGTGAGGTTTATGCTCCAATTTAAAGCCCCAGCAGTGGCAGCTGTGTGTGTGCTGGAGTGTATGAAAACCTGCCAGCTTTGCTACGAGTGTTTTGCCTGTAAGGTGCTGAAACAGAGACTGAATAAAATGGCAACAAGAAACACAGTCACAAGTGGTGGTTGCTGTGCTTTGGAAAGGTTTCACATTTCCCAGGTGCTGCCTCTGAGCTTTAAAAGGAAGAGAAATGCCTGTCAGCATCCATTCATCCATCCCTGCTTCCTTGAAGAGAATTTTTCTGACTACCCTAGGTAACTCCATTTCCTATCACAAAGAAAATACAAATTTCATTCTTTTGGATGCTCCACTTGTTTGTCTTTGCAGCAGGGAGAAGAGTTCAACAACAGAGCTCCCCAAGCTGTGCCTGCCTCAGTCTGTGGGTCAGAAAGAGAGGGTGCTTCCCAAAAACCACATCAGCACTAATAACTAACTTCTGCCACCGCTGCTGCAGATTTGTTCTTCTCTCTCCCTCATGCACCACCTTTAGCAATCACACCAAAATGTTTTCGTGCTCCTGGTAATGATGTATCTATTTTATCCTTTATAACTTTATAACTGAAGTGACACAGGTAGTGTTTCACCCAGTACATCAGAGAAGGCAGGACACTGTTCTGCCAAAGAACAGTAAGTTTTAGGGCATTTGATACACACATCTCACAGCTAACAAATTATTAATTTTCAATAATTAGTCTATTCAAGAAAAACCCTAATTTTTGATGGCTTGCTTTACCACTGTCTGTTAACAAATTCTGTCAACGTTCAAACAGGGTAAATGGAATAACCTTGGATGTTTACCTGTAACTGGTCTGGGAATTCTTCCCCACTGTAACATGTTCAATTGGCAGAGAGCAGAAGGATGCTACAAGCTAAGGCCAATTAAGGAGGATTTTTATTGAACACATGACTTACAATATTTTTTGTTATTTTCATGAGAATGTTGGTTGATAAATTTTCTGTTCACAAAGCAGATTTTTAAAACACTCTATTCTTCCCAGCCTTCTCATGAAAGTGCTATGTTGAGTTAATTAAAATCTAATTGAAAGTCCACAAAAAGTAATTGCAAAAGTGGAATTTTCACCAAGTAACCTGTTTCTAGTGAGCAAGAATGGAGGGAGCTGCAATAGTCTGCCTTTGCTATCTTTCAGAAAAAATGAGAAAAATGTACATTAAAAAAAATCAGAATATTTTCAGCTGAGCTGCACACTGCCAGAATAGTAAATGATGAAGAGAGATTCCTACACAGCTGGACTAGGAATGTTTAGTAAGACAGATGCAGGCCAGTGAGGGCAAATTAACATTTACAAGTACTGACAGAACCAAGCAGCCCAAATCTCAACACAAGTCCCCCAAATCTCTCTGTGTAAATGTTAGTCAGCATCTTGAAATACTGACAAAACCATTGCTGCATTCTATTTATTCAGCTATGTGAAAACATTTACAAGTTTAGGCAGCAAGTGCTTAGACTTAGAAGTAAAAGAAATCAGAATTAGTGGGAGATAAGCTGTGTTAGGTCTGCTTATGGCATCATAAACAGATTTATTTTTCCAGTTTATTTCAGTATCGGGTTCAGCTTTGATGCTATACTTCGACAAGGATGTTAAAATTAAGCTCACCATGCAGCCCAAGGGCCAGCTGCATCAGTGCACTGAGAAAGTGAGATGGGACTAGGATGGAGTAAGGGGAATGTCACTCCCAGGAGATTCCCTCAATACCAATGAGGAAAATGTCACTGGAGCCACAGTCTTCCTGATTTAGATGGGCAAGTGACATTTTCACAATGTGAAACCTCATAGAGGTTTAAATATTATTTCATTATTTACATGAATTAAGCCTTGTATTTATTGCACCAGAAGATACAGACAAGATCTACTGAAATTCTTGAAAGCACCCAAGTGCTCAACTCCTATTCAAACCAATTGGCTTAAGTACCCAGAAAATTTTAAAAAGTCCAATTAGGCATTAAGCACTTGGAAATCTATCCCTGATTGATTTTTGAAATAGAAGTTAAGAAGCAATAAAAATGGAACACAAATCCCAGGGTGCTCTTGGAAGTACTTACATAGTTTTGAGTCTGTACATTAGCTTAAACAACTTGAATTCTAAAACACTAATGAAAAACATGGTATACATAACAGGCTAATTAAAGTAATTTAATTAATGAGTGTTTTAGTGTTGTTATCTACTACACTAATTTTCTCTCAAATACATGTAAATACCTTTTTCTATGTTTCTTTGAACATGGAGGACAACACATGACAAATATAAAATCGTTCAGAGCATCAACATCGTGCATAAAGCCTCTTTGCATATTTTGTAGTTGAAATAGGAAGGCTTCTTGCTTCTTAGTGCCAAATTTAGTAGTTTTACTGGTTGATGGAAATGCATATAAAAGTTTCAAGTTTTTTATTTGTGGAGTCTGGGAGCAGTGACAACTACAGAGTGAAGAGTCCATCACTGGGAGCTTGTGTGAAGCTCCTGGACTTAGGGAAAGCCTGGCTAAGGGTATTTCCAGATGTCAAGAGGCAGAACTACCATAAGGAAAGAAAGGATCAGAGAATCTGAGAGCATCTTAGCTTGGAAGGGTCCCATAAGGAAATTTTATGGAAGAGAACATTCCTTCAGCTGCAGCATTGGGCTAACATTCCAATGTGTTGTAAACCCAGAACTAAGTCTGAGGCTTGTTTTTAATCACATAGCACTGGTCATTTTGTGATAAACAAATAGTATGGGTTCAGCCATTCAAACTCCCAATGTCTCACTGGCTTAGAATTAGATGCTACTTCTGTTGTATTTTTTTTTTTTTTTCCCTTCAGTGAAACTTACTTTCATCTCCAGTTTCAAATTCAAACTTCTGGCTATAGCCGCTGTATCCTGCTGCCGTCCTGACTCTGATATGAAATATGTACTTGGTGGCTGGCTTGAGACCTGTGATGATAACACTTGGAGCCTTGGACCTTGTGGAGGAATAGCTGAGCTGCTCATGCTCCTGAGGGACAAAAGAGGGAAGAAATGATATCAAGTTGAGTTGAACAATCTTTGCAAAAATGATATAACAGAACTGAAGCTCCATATTCTTCTCGCGAATGTAAAATGTGTTTATAAAAGGAGGTGCACGTATGGATTTCTGTACTTTGGTTCTGTGCTACAGTCAGAATGTATGATATGGCCTCGACTTTTAGGTTTGGGGTTTTTTGTCTTTACCCTTGCATACAGACATGTTTTTGTGACTTGGGTTAGCAACCAACCCAACCGTAGTCAAACCAACATGAATTAGTACAAGACTACATTCACAGAAGAATGGCAACTAGAATGGAAACTCATTATTTTTGCACAATGGACAAACTAGGAGGTCAGTAAACACTACCAAGCTGTAAAATAAAGATGTGGGAGTATTCAAATACCCGCTACTCACTTCTACCCGCAGGTAGTGCCAAAATGCCGGCGCTATCCGTGGGTAGACCTGTGGGTAAAAGAAAATAGGAATTAACCTTTACTTTAAAGCCTGCCGACTTCATGGTTCAGCTGCTTTGCTGCTGCTGAGCTCAATGTCTCTTTCCAGGTAGGTGTAATGTAGTCATACATGAAATTCACTTTGAAAGTCTATAAGGAGAAATACTCTGTGCAAAAGTCCCCTGTTAATCTCCTGGCAGTTGATGCCAGGCAGCAGCTGAGAATTCCTGAATCTCACAGAGATCCCTGAGAATTATGATCTCTGGGAATTACCACTGCAGACCAGCTGCTCTAGTATGGAGACCAGAAATATCAATCTCTGTGCTTTAACTGAGGGCTGCTTTGCTAGACAGGTCTTGGATGATGCCTTTACATGAGAGGATGACTTGGAAGAAGAATATTTATTCCCTGTCATTAGTTACTTGATAAACCAGTAATCTGTAATATTTTATGTGCTGCCTTAAGGCTAGGTTTGCTCCCTTGGAGCAGGATTTGTCTCCAAACTGAGCAGGAATGTCCTTGGCATGTGCTTAACAGTCCAACTGTGACATCCACAGGGCACCATATGCATTTATTATACCACACAGTTATATTAGAGCAGGTGTAAGTTATTCAAAGGGTGCTTCCAGCCTGCTCAGAAGGAAATCTACTTCACAGAAGAGATATAACCAGGAGAAGATCAGGTTTCAGTCAGATTCTGTTGGACTTTTAACCTCTTCTCAGCAATATGCATGCACTTTCTATACAAAACAAACAGTTTTTATAAAACACGCTGAGTTAACTCCAGCCATGTGAAACAGATCACATTAGCACAGGGCAGCAGGTCGATCACTATTCCCCCAGTAGGAATACAGGGACATGGCTGAGAAAACCAGATTAAAAAACAAACACACAGAAGCAACCTAATGATTCTGTTGGGGGAAGGAGCAGAAGGAAGGCAACAGTGATCAATATTAAAAATAACTACATTTAACTTGTGCTTCAAACAGTGGGAAAATCAGAGAAACTATAGTAAGAGGAAGAATTGATTTTTTCCTACAGTCTGCTACCAATATTTGAAACCATAAGGAAGATGTATTTAAAATGAAATAGTAGGATAAAAATTATATGGATAGAGACTATTATTAATACACCATCTAATTACTTCTTTAAATATAAGACTTCTCCCAATTACTTGAAATGTTGTAACTTCACTTTGAACAGGTTAGTGGATTTTAGACATATTTTACTGCATTTCAGAAAATACTTATTTTCTTCTGACAGAAAGCCTACTTGATTGAGTGGTAAGTGTTTCTTTTTTTCTGATTGCGTGACTTCCTGTGAAGGAAAGATCTTAGAAATCTTCAGATTATGTAAACAGCAAATGCTTGTTTTATACAGGTATTAGCATGATTCAAAGTGCTCTGTCACGGCCCATAGATGGGCAGTGAGTGACTTTATACTCTGGAATGCTCTGGAAATTTTTATTTAGACTCTGTAAGCTAAGGAAGAGGCCAGCACCTAAGGGATTTCACTGTACAATGTAATAGTTGCAAGCCTTTTATTTTCCCTAGACCACCTTACTGCTTGAAATCAAGTCTTAGCATTTAACAGTGTACTGCTTCTTTGACCTGCTGGAGAGATTGCAGAAAAAACTGATGGAATTGTAAAAAGAAATACAGTCTTTAAGAGGAGGATGGAAATGGAAATTTTGTCCAAAAATCCCCCAAGATCCAGTGACAAGATTTAATCCCTGATGACTGCAGAACAAGGCCAGCAGCAGCAAGAAGTAGGAATGACTTTTGGAAAAAGAAACAATCTGAGCTCTAGCTATTATATCTATTATATGTTATTACAGGCTAACACTGCTTGTGTAAAACATACACTTGGGACACACTGGCTCCATAGCCAGGGGTGTGGGCAGGAAGGCAGAAAATACAATTCTTTATTTGAAGTTGGTCAAAGATGATATGAGCGTGATAAGGGCTGTGATGGTAACATTTAATCAACGAAATGGGTCCCTCTGGGGGGAACAGCAACCTCCTGAGGGGCAGCCATTGCTACCTGTCCCTTCTGGAAGGCATTTTGGCCACCTCCAGGGGTTGTCTGGCTTGTTGCTTCCTCACCACGTGCCTGGGGCTGCCTGCAGGAAGCACTGAAGGTTGTGGTCCCTCTCCATGCCCTGCTCTCTCCTTTCTTTCTGCAGCCTGTCATTCCATCCATCCCACAGACTGAAAAATGATGTCTGGGAGTACACGAGCTTAAAAGTAATAGTGCTGTCAGATGGGGAAGGGTCAAGATTTGTTACTGCACGTGAAAGAGCAGAAAGGGATCCTGTCACCTTGGCTTGAGAACAAGCTTCAGGAGCTTGAGGAAAAAGTTGCTCAAACTCAAGAGAAAATGATTCATAGCCAGAAACTTCTCAGAGCTGGAATGTTTTGCACAAAGAATTCTGCCTTTTAGGACTGGATTCACACATAAGAGAATTATCCAAAGAGGGGATGCTTTGCCCTTATTCCCTTCTCTTGACAACTGATCTGCAGCCAACCAGGAAAGCCAGAGCTTTCCACAGAGATGCATGGAGGTGGCTCTCAAGGCTGGCCACTCCTGCTCCCATGATCTTTCCCAGGAAGGCTGAAGATGGACTCAGAACAAAAAAATAAAATTCTGGACTGCACAGACACATGGGATGCTTTGAATTATTCTTGCTATAGACCATATGCACTCACTTTTGCAGGGATTATGTGTTCAAAAAGCCAATTTTAAACTGAAGAACTTAAGTTTACTTCCTGGATGTTAGTGCATGCTTTTCCCAGATCCTGCTTTCACGTTGTGGCAAAATATAGATATATATCAAGCCACTTATCATGCACACTATTTTCCATCACAAGGAAGCATGATTTTGTGTGCTAGAAGGATCTATCTTGTGTGATAGATTTCTGACCTAGACAGTGACAGGAATCAATGGGAAAGGCCAAGGACTGCATTTATTCTGTACTTGATAACAGAGGGCTACTACAAAATCTGCCAAATGAAACATAAGTTTAACTGACATGGCTGTACCTCCCATGGCACATAAGAAGTAAGATAATATATAGTTGGCCACTATATGGTTCAGTGTTCATAAAAAGAAAAGGGACACAAGAAACACTCTGATCATTTACATCATTTACAGCATTTGTGACCTTAGAGATGGCAAAGGGCTCACAAGAAGCAGTTCTGAGAACCCAGGGGCTGAGGGGTTAAATATGAGTTAAAGGAGTCTATCTAATATAATATACTCATATAACTGTGAGACATAATCTGATATGAGGAAATTCATAAGACCTCTTCCATAGCCTACTGTAAATTTATCTTGGTGAAAATCTGTAATTAAAACATAAATATAACCCAAATGCAAGCTATGCCAATGTTATTACACAATGTAATACTAAGTCTATGGCTACCTATCCAAGTTAAACAGAATTATATTATAAACTTTGAAAATGCTATCTCTGTTTCTAAGGAAATTGTTCTTTTCTTATTGTTTGTGTGATTCCTCTTGTAAATGGATTTGGTTCTGATTATGAGGAACAGTGTTCACAAATCCATGACAGTTTGCTCTGTGCATGAGCAAAAAAGCCTTTCAGAATCAAATTCTTTTTTGCAGCCACCTCTGCCTATCTGAATCTCTATCTATCCTAATTTTATACTTGGCTTTATGGATAAGGCATTTTTCATATCTAAAGAAACAGACTGAGTGGAAAGCACAATGGTGCTAATGGTCTAAGACTAGACAACCTAATTTAATTGAGTAGCACCGTCAGAGGATAATTTTAATGAAATATTTCCTGCTTTTGCAGTAGCAGTCACTATCCAGATGTTCTGTTATTGTGATGGTTAGTACCATCTTTCTCATATACTTAAAAGAAAGAGGATTCCCCCAATAACATTAACAATTCTAAATAAACAGATATATTTCCACATGCTACAGCATTCGTGTGAACGAATAGATCTCTAATTTTATCCTCACCTTAGTAGACAGCAAAGTAGCACAGAAATTAAGACTTTGTGGATACATATAAGAAAAATATTGATAAAGACTAACCAAATGTGATGATCTTTAATCCGTTTAGACTCTTAAGGCAATCAGAGTTTATATTCTGATGTTATAGGTGATAAAAAGAGTACACGTCTCAAAACCTTTACTAAAAAACCCCAAAAAATCAATAGAAATTAAAACTGAAACACAGAATTTTGCCTGTAGTGCTGAAATAACCTTAAAAAGATTAACTCAACCAGTAAAGCACTGATAAAATCCTGGCACTTTTAGGCATACGAGATTTGTCATCGTTAATCTTTGAGTGTCAAAAAGAGACATAGTTCTAATAAAAATAGTATCAGTCCTTAGTTTAGTAACTTAAAAAGATAAGCAAATATAATTTTCTATGAATTAGAATATATAACATGAGCTATATACTCTTAGTCTAGTTTATTTTATGAATGACAATGGAGGTATTCAGCTCATTCAGTGTCATGAGTAACAAAAGTCTTCTTAAACTGACCCTAGGGGAAGGATTTCCAAACCTTCTGCCAGCTAAAAGAGACTTACTGTACCCACAACTTTCAAGTGTGTGTGTGCAGAAAGAATCCAGGGGGAGGAACTGAATTTACTATCAGCTGTTTGCAAACACATTTTCTAGTTTATATCTATTGTCCTGCAACATGAAAATTCTGTATTAAGCCACATAATCCTGCCTGGCCTTTTCAAAGCACTGTTATTTAACTGAAAGAAGAGCTAATAGAGATTAAATCTACCTACCACAGGGACCAGGTCTTTATCCTGTACACTGAAGCACAATGTCAAAGCTGAATAAGTACCACATTAAAGTAAAGAAGATTTGGAGTTTCATGACTCAGGTACTATAAATGTTTAAATAAAATCACCAATAATAAAAAAGAATTTTTTATGAGACCATTTGGTCACATCTTTCCTAGATACATCAGTCTGAGGAACACACACAATGTGACCTACAGAGGAAGCATCATTAT